TTTAGAAAATCCTTTTACGTATGCATAAATGTCCAGACCATTCAGAAGTAACTAAGAGTACATCTGCATGGATAGGTACCTAAGTCTGTGTTTGGTGCTGGCCAGACACATGCCAGCTCCCAGCCAGCTCCATTTGGAAAGCTGGAGAATTGCATTAGCATGGCTCTGTGCCAAACTGAATATAAACTGCCTCTCAAGAGGACTTATTAGCTCAATCAAAGCACCATGAAGAGAACTATGAGACAGAGACTAGTGGCTACAGCTCCTTTCTCGCACCCTCAGGAGCTCAGACACGTGCCCATTCGCTGGTGAAGATGTCAACATATTAGAGGAGCTGTGGTTCCTCCAGGAGAATGATCAGCTATTCTCTTTTGTGCAGTTGTATGATGAGAGTCTGCTATTGTACGGGGCATCTCCTTGGTGCTCAGCCATTCTTGTGCTGACTACACCTTCAGCTAGTGTTTGCTCTCTTCCTGTGCATTAAATAAGGACTTCAGGGACCAAGAGGTTTGCATGGAAGAACTGCAGGTGATGGAATCAATTGATGTCTGGAAACATTAGCAAGGAATGTATGCTGCAGTGGAGTCCAAAGTGTGATTTATGTGCATCTTTCAGATAAAGAACATTGAGATAAGTTGTGGGTCAGTTGGCTACTGTGATGTAATTCATAAGAGATACCAGAAGATTTTCCATGAACAATTGTTTCAGACTCCCTTGGCTCTGATAGTCTCCTCTTTACCTCCCTCTTGCCAGAGGCTCACTTGGCTAACACTGGCTACTGGCAGATGTGTTTTCCAACTACACTGTAGTGTTAGAAGTTCCACATGTGGCCTGCAGTGTGCAAAACTGGTCCCTTTGCTCTTTGGATGTCCTGGCATGCTGAGTGCTTCAGGAGCACTGTTGCCCCTCCTTGTAAAGCACATAATACTCTTAAATTGGTTGTGTCTGGGTCTGCAGTTTATCTTGAAATTATCCTTAGCACAAGCTCAGTGTAGGTAAAAGCAAAAGCATGTGGAGATGCAGTACATTACTAAGACTTAAGGAAGCATGTAATGGGAAGCAAAGGATGGTTATAAGCTACTTAAGATGAAATTTTAATGACAATTCTTATCCAGCTGAGAAGTTGTAGGTGCTTTCCTAATTCTTGTGGATAGGTATTCAATTAGGGTGTACAGCTCATATTTCTGTATCTCACTAACAAGAGAAGGGAACTGTGGTATGGATAAGAATATTTGCTTTTACATGCCACCCTCTCTATGGTGTTTCTCTTTCACCATATTTTTAGTCTTCTTCCCATCTTCCCACCTCACCCGTGATTTCTTACTACTCATTCCAGTTTACAAATTTTGATCTTTCTTGCACAAGATCTTTCTCTACCTCCTGACTTTGGAAATGGTTCTGTCCCTTCAAAGTCAAATTTATTATCACTCGTATGCTCAGACAAAGAGCAGGCTCCTTTTAGGTGGTACCAGGGCTTGACTAAGCTCTGGACATGATGTACGCAGTGCCAGAAATGGACTGAAGACCAGACACAATGGTAATTAACCACTTTAGAATCATGATAAGCATGGAGGACAGGAGTATCGTGGCATCAACGGTAAATGATGTTGATGCAATTATTTCCATGGGCAACAGTGGGTAGAGAAAAGAAACAGAGGAGAATCATTCAGATTCATTTTGTTCTTGCCTAAATGTGGTTTCAGTTTACTTAATCCATTCCTAAGCATATCCTTGTGTATCAGTTTAACTAGATTGGTTTGTGTCCACGCCTTCCATTAAAATGACATACACATCTGCACATCTGAGACTGCAGTATGGTGTGGATATATTATCTGGGCTTGCTGCCATCTCTACACATATTTGTCTGACTTCATAACAGCTACAGTCCAAGCTATAACTTCACAAAAGTCCAGGTTGCATTTTGTCCATACTTCCAGAAAATATGAATCAAAAATATTACTGAGAGCAGAACAGAGCTATTTGAATTCTAAAGAGATGAGCTGAAATGGGCCTTGTTTTTTAGTGTTTTCTATTCCATAAAGGGTGTAAAGATCATTCTGCAAGTGATCAGAAACTTCAATATTCTGCACTTGATCTATTGCAGTAGAAGTTTGGTATATCTTGTCCTTAATGTTTGACATTTGCAGCAAAGCTTTCGAGAAAGCAAGTCACAATGTTTGGCATTTGTTTCTGCTGATAGATCTTTCACTTTCTTATCATGATAAAATTACAGAGATAAAAATCTTTTTTACCTTGAGTGTTTCATAATTACTATGTTGTCACTTTAGACTTTTATTCTGTTGGCCTGCAAATAGTGATGATAATTAAGAGCAGAATCACAGTAGTACCCCTATGGGGTAACCTGAAATATGCAGTTCAGAGTTTCAGTTTTGGAAACATTAAGTAACCCTTGAATTTATTAATTAGGGATCTATCCTTACTCCTGCTCTGGAGCCAAATCCTTGGATATGCATACCTCAGAATCAGTTTCCTTTAATATTAAAGATATTTAAAACCTAATGTTCAAGGTAACTGGTGTGTGCTCCTTTCTTGTATAGTTTTCTCAGGTTAACAAAGAGATAATGGCAGATTGAAATGGAGACATTGCAGTCTGTCATTTATTCTGTGTATTACATTTCAAGCAGATCATTAAAAATATGTATTTTTACTTGTTCTCCAGACACTGTAAATAAATTAATCACAGTCCAAAGTTTGTTCATGAAATACGTGGTGTAAAGAATCAAGTCTAAGTGCGTGATTATCTCTGGATTAAATACATTTATGTGCTGCATAAGGTTTATGATTATGTGACCTCTGTATTTTGATAGGCTGATGATATATATGAACTCAGCTGTGTTCTGTCCTCTCTGTCAGAGGTTACCCTCTTTTCTGTAGGGCCAATATAACAGGAAAATATGTGTCCATAGTGGTATACTTGAGTTCAAACTCACCTTCAATGAAAATGTGCAGGAGGATTCACTTTCTTCTGCTGGTTTTGCTGCAGTTTTGACAACCAGTAACAGAAAGACAGGGAGAAAGGATGTAACTTCTTAACCTATGACACAAAAATAGCTGGAGCTAATCTGTTAGGGATTTTAAACAAAGCAGAGAATTGCACTTTTTGTAAACAATACATAATTATAAACTCACACAAAAGGTCTTTGAACTCCGGAGCTACAATACACTAGCAGGTTTCAGCATTTCAGTGTTACCAAGAAAGAAATATAGAAAATCCACAGTGTTATTTGAAATCTGAAATTTTCACATTAATTCTAGCAGATTTGATGCAATGTTTCTCTTTTAGTCTTCTGAATAAATTACAAAAGAGTCTTTGGCTTAGCAATAAACATTCACTCCTCTGACTGTAATGGGAATGACTACTTTGACTTAGCATAATAGAAACACAAGTTTTCTTGTTTCTGCCTGAGTCACTGCAGCCAATCCAGGCTGTGCTTATCCAAGGCTTCTTTTCTTATTATTTCTGGCTTGTGTTTCAAACAAACAAACAAAACAACAACAACAAAAAAACCCCACAAATACTAATATCTCAAAACTCCATTTTTACCCTTATATCCTACTCTGTTTAATACTAGATGTTTTAGGAAGAATCAGACATAGTCTGATTGTTTTCTAGTGTATCTCTTAATCACCTCAGCCATCACCCCATCTCCTTTATTCAGTCTCTCTCCTGTTTAGTAGCAGACCTAGATGGTTCTTAAAACCCTTCTGGATTTTGTTTCCACATCACAAGAGAAAGCTGTCTCTTACTTTGGACTATTAATGTGCAATCTCTGCCTTGGCTAAATTTCAGTCGCCCACTCTACCACCCTCTTTTCCATTCCCTTAGTGTCTCACCTGTCATCTTATAGCCTTTCCAAAATGCTGCCTTACCAGCTGTCATTCTAGTTTCCCTGATTCCACTGATCCACTCACTTCACCAGCATCTCTTTGCTCCTTTTATAAGAATCTTCACTGTTAGCTCTCTAACACAGAAATGGACACTCATGCAAAGAGATCCATTCAACCAAAAAAATAAAATAATAATATAAAAAAAAATTCACACTAGAAATCAGCATTCCATTAAGTGGAGAAACAAGGTTTTATTTGACCGAAGAAGCCTTCTCTATCTTACAATCTTGACAATAATTATCTCTTCTCAAACTCAGAATTGTGCCACCAGGTTATTCATATCACTTACCTTCAGTTAGTTACTGTTCTTGGTGGTATTACGTAGTACTCTTTTCTCTGGGCCAGAACATGTGAATATCCCTGCTGTGTGAGCTAATTAACTGTATCATTTGTAAAATAAATAGTGTATAACGTATTGATAATACTGACATGCATAAATATCAATATTTTGTTAACATCAGTGATACAACATATGGAATCCTTTTTAAAGTTAAAATCTTTACATATCCCCTTTATCAGCTTTGTGGGACAGACAGTAGTTCAAAACTCTGTCCATTCATTCCAGTGTTACTTGTGTCACTTCTGGCTTAAATCAGCACCACTGCACCATGAGCCATCTAAGAAAACTGTTGAACAGTGCAGAAGTCCAACGTGTTTTCAGCCACTTCCTGCCACAAGGCCCTGGAATGGATGATAAAGCATTTTTGCAGCAGGGCCATACAGATTGCTGACTGGTGGTCTTCCTGGAGTCCAGGAGAGGAGACAAAGCAGATTTTTTGAATGAGGGAGCAATGCTACCTTGCAGATTTTTCCTCCACCCTGTAATGCTCTGTGGCATGCTTGCTTCCATCTCCTATTTCAAAAGGGAAGAAAACCCCCACTGAACAACAAATCACAACAAAAAACAGCAGGAAAAACCAAGGGATGCTATTAATAAAGTGAAGGCCCTTGCCAAGAGGGACTAAGTTTTCCAGCGGCCATCTTACCACCCTTGTTTTTTTATTAAACGAAGCTATTTCTTAATGAGACTGTCTTGTTTGGCACATGTGATTTCAGGCTCTGAACATCCTCCCATGTGTTTTGTTTTGCAGGAGGCAGCACTGGCACCTCCCCAACAACCTCCAGCACAGGGACTCCATCACCCTCTGCTTCCTCTCACCTTCTCTCTCCATCCTGCTCCCCTCCAGCCTTCCATCTGGCCCCCAACACTTTCAATGTTGGTTGCCGGGAGAGTCAGCTTTGCAACCTCAACCTGTCTGACTACCCTCCATGTGCCAGAAGCAACATGGCTGCCCTGCAGAGCTACCCAGGGCTGGGCGACAGTGGCTACAACCGGCTGCAGAGTGGCACTGCTTCCGCCTCACAGCCCTCCGAAAGCTTCATGCCTCAGAGGACTCCATCTTTGATCTCAGGAATGCCAACTCCTTCTTCTCTGCCCAGCAACAGCAAGATGGAGGCCTACAGCAGCCAGCTGGGGTCCTTCCCCAGCTCCCAGTTTCAGTATGTCATGCAAGCAGGCAATCCTGCATCCAGTTCTTCTTCTTCACACATGTTTGGTGGCAGCCACATGCAGCAGAGCTCCTACAATGCCTTCTCCCTGCACAATCCCTACAATCTCTATGGATACAATTTCCCTGCTTCCCCAAGGCTGGCAGCAAGCCCGGAGAAACTCACCACTTCCCAAAGCACTTTACTCTGCTCTTCCCCGTCCAGTGGGGCCTTTGGAGAGAGGCAATACCTTTCCACAGGGATGGATCATGGGATGCACATGATCAGCCCTCCCTCCAGCAACCAGCAGACAGCCAATGCCTGCGACAACAGACAGTATGGTGCTGTTCAGGGCTCTTCCTCACAGATGTCTGTGCACATGGTCTAACCAGCAGTGCCTCTCCTTGGCATGGAAGGCAATAGGACCTGCATTGTTTCCATGGATAAAACCATCCTAGTACCTTTCTGCCTTCAAACTTATAGAGAAACTAGCATTGTAATGATAAATTAGAACACAAACCATCTAGGTATGCACCACCAAATCTCGTGGAAAACCTTCATTGACAGCCATTGTTGAAATCCAGGGCCTCTGGACTTGGTGTGGAGTGTCTGCTCCTTCTGGACATTGCAAAGAGAAGGGCAGGACTTTAATGAGAAGCTGGAGTGAAGAAACCAAATATACAGTTTATGCATTAACTCTCAGCTAGTGTGAGCTCTCGGTGTTGAGAGAGCCATTTCCTTGTGCCGTCTTCTCTGAGTGTTGAAGAAAGGCAGTCTCCCAAGACTTTGTCCTGAAGCTGTACTGCCCATGATGGGCCAAAGCTTTAAAGGCCTTCCCCTTCCTGAACTGTCCCTGGCTGCTGAAGCAGCTCAGCCTGTTTCTGAAGCCATCAGTGACCTATGGCTCCTTCTACTGTAGCACAGGAATGACACTGCTGAGTTGGAGCTTCTCTTCCTAAAGAGGTTTCTGTACTTTCATTGCAGCTCTGCTCGACCAGTGTTTTCTTTTTGAGGGTCGAGCCTACCAGTACTCAGTCTGCAGAGAGAGATGAGAGAGAGGAGAAAGAAAAATTTTAACTTGTGAGTCTCAGACACGAGCAGGGTTGGAAGCTTCACACAAGCATCTTTGAAAAGATGCACAGGGGGAGAAAGAGATCAGCTCTTACTGACATTCCCTAAAGGGATGTACTCAAGCCAAAAGAACAAAAGCCTCTGTGGGGAACATGTGTCTTGTAGCACTCAACTCAATGGGAGGAAACTCTCCAGACTGAACTCATGGGGAAGAACAATGAGAAATGAGTGCTCTGCTCTGCAGCAGTACAACTGGCCTCCCTCACCTTGCATGTAAGAATTGCCATAGAAAACCAATAGCATTTCAGTAACAATGAGGTCGAGTATTCTCCAACCTCCTGCCTGCCATGGGATCTCTGTTTAACCAACTTTCTTTTATGTTTTATTTTCTTCTGTTTTTGTTTTTTTTTCTTTCTTCAAATCCTTTAAAAATAAGAAAACAATTGTAGCTTGGTGCAAGCTATGCATTTAAGTTGTGTGAAAATGCAAATACCAAGTAACAGAATACAGATATTATTGAGATTTGTTGTGAGGTGTTGTAGATAAATGTATTTATATGCCTAGTGGGGGAGTCAATATTATGAATATAAAAGAGGGCAATAAAAATGGTATGTAAAATATGTATGAAGAAAAAGGTGTATAAAGATTTGCCCTATGCACGGAACTCTGTTTCTAAGTGCCAAGCACAGAATGCGCTAAATAAATCTTTGCAATTGTTCCTTTTGTGTTTTTTATTTTTGTTTTTATTTTTGTCTGTGAGGCTTCTTTAACAGTTTTCTAGAGACATAAGTTTTCAAAGTACTGCCACTCACGCTTTCACTATAGAGGAATCAAAAAAATGAAGTCGAGGTGAAGTCCAGGCACAGTGTTTAAAGAGAATGCAAGCATCTGCATGGATTTGTGTTGGGGCAGATCACTCAAGAGGAGTGTTAGCAGTCAGAAATACTGTTCTGCAGCTACCAGCCCAGAAATTTGTTTCCCGGGAAGACCTAAGTAAATTCTTGACGCTTTATATAACTTAAATCCCCAATATCAATCATAATCAGATCTCTTGTAATATCAACAACTCTCTCAAGCAGTCTATCAGCTTAAGTAATTAGTAAACATTCCCAGGAGCACTATTTACACTAGAAGTTCTGTTAATTACTTGGGATTTATTAGGTGTCTGCTTTCACAGGAATTGTGTCTTATGAACTGCTAGAATTATTATTTTGATTGTTGAAGTCTAATAAAAAGTTTTTCAGAGCCACTTTTCACAGTTAATATATATAAATAGTAATTACAGATAATAGTATAATTTTTATTTCATTTTTAAATGTAATTTTGAGGTATTTGTCAGTTTATAATTTGCACTGCATGTCACTGAATCACAGAATCATAGGGGTTGGATGGAACATCTGGAGATCATCTAGTCCAACCTCTGCTGAAGCAGACTCCCTACAATTGGTTACAGAGGAAAGACTCCACATGAGTTTTCAGTATCTCCAGAGAAGAAGACTCCAGAACCCCTCTGAGCAGCCTGTTCCAGTGTTCTGTCACCCTCAAAGCCAAGAAATTTTTCTTCATGTTTGTATGGAACTTCCTGTGTTACAGTTTGTGACCATTGTCCCTTTTTCTGTCACCAGGTACCACCAAAAAGAGTCTGATCCCATTTTCTTGACTCCTGCAGTTTAGATACTTATAAGCATTGATGAAATCCTCAGTTATTCTTCTCTTCCCCAGACTGGACAGTCCCAGTTCTCTCAGCTTTTCCTCATAAGGCTCCAGGCCCCTTGTCATCCCTGTGGCCCTCCTCTGGATTTTCTCCAGTAGTTCTATCTTGAACAAAGGAGCCCAGAACTGGACACAGTACTCCAGATGTGGCCTCACCAGTGCAGAGGAGTGGTGGAGGACCTCAACCTCCTGATCACACTTTTTTAATGCACACCAGAGTAGCATTGGCCTTCTTGGCCAATGGACAGTTTCTAATATGAGATTGAAAACAGTGGGGAAACTGAAGCCCCTCAGATCTGGCTGCAAGAGTTATGACTGCAAAGTTTACAGTTTTCCTTGTGTAAAGTAAACTTCTTATCTGAACTAACAAAAAGAAAAAGAACACTAAAATGGTAGAAAACCCTGAAGGATAAATTCTCTGATGGTTATTAATTTTTATTTCTATAGGAGAAGATAAACACACAACCACATTCCCAGTACTGTACCTGTCTGTCTGATGATATTGCAGATTTTACTGTGTGTAGCCTTGGATGCTTCAGAAAAGGGCTGGAGTGATTATTGATGAGAGAATGTGTTCTTCCTCTCACTGTCTTCTGTTTACTCTAGGAAATTTAATCTTGGTTTAAAATCAAAAGAGAGTCCTATAGCTATCTAAAATCCTTTCAGAATCTTTACGAAATACTTTTAATTCTGTGTTTTGAGCTTTGCTGTAATTTCAGGTTTGACTCAATCCTGTGGCAACAATTTCTGTAGATTAACATTAGTATGAAATGCTATTTCTTTCTGCTGGCCACTTCCATTAGATAATGCAATCCTGACTAGGAAAGCATAAAGATACTGAATGATACACACATGCAGATCGGGAAGTTCTGTTTCACAGCCAGGACACCAAGACACAGTCAGATTCTCAGAAAAGTGTTTCCTTGCCCAATGCATCTTTTTCTCTACTTCCAGTGCCTGTTTGGAGATGATATCCCAGAAACACACAATCTTGGCATGTGGCATGAAGGAGAGTTATTCATCTGTGACATGGCAGGATGTAGCACCTACCACCCTTCTTTATTCACTCTCACTTCTTTGAGACTTTAGGAGGAGACTGGAAAAAATGTTGTCTGATTAACTGCTCCATATATAGAATCATAGAATTACAGAATATCCCAAAGTGAAAGGCACCCACAATAATCATGGAATCCAATTCCTGGTTCTGCACAGGACTACCTAAAATTCAAACCCTATGTCTGAGAGCATTGTCAAAACACTTCTTGAACTCCAACACGTCCAGTGCAGTGACCACTGCCCTGAGGAGCCTGTTCTAGAGCCTTACCACCTTTTGGTAAAGATCCTTTTCCTAATCCCCAGTCTGACTCTCCTCTGACACAGTTCCAAGTGGTTAGTTCCTATGGCAAGTCTACACCAGAGAAATGCAAACTCCACAAGTATTAGGCTGTTCTATCTAGTTCTTAGAAAAGCATTTCAGAAAGTTTACTTAATCTTGTGAAATTTTTAAACTGTGGGCTGCTATTCTTTTGTGCTTTCGAGACATCAAAGTAACAGCACTTGGCCTATGTTAAGATGATGTTAGGAAGCCTCCCAATTCCCATTGGCACTGTTCTAATTAATGCTGTTAAAGCTTTTGAGGAAGAAAGGAGAGAGGAAGGAAAAGAAAAGGACTAAGTGATTTATCCAAATTCATGCAATAAGCACTTTGTGTCCTGTAGTTGTCTCCTCAACACTGCTCCAGGCAGTACAGGACGGAGATGGCCTCAGGCAGGGTGGAGTTCTGAGTTTCATAACCTGTTTGAACAGCAGGGGCCTCATGCTTATAAAAGGAGCTGCCCTCATGTAGCATTTGCCTTCAGGATCATACTAAGGCCAGCCAAGAGCCACTGTCTTATCTTACACCCAGGACAGCCACAGCAATCCCATTTCTTCTGCAGGAGCAACTTAATGCAACTATTCCCTTTCTCATGCAGAAATAATGCTTTTCCCCACCAACCCCTTTTGAGCAGAGGTGGGATTTGCACATTTGCTTGGATGTTAGGAAAAAAACATCCACACAAGACAGCAGAGAATTTGCATGCACACAGCTGCCATCAGGAAAATTTTTGTATCTGTTGGGTTTCCCCCTGTGATCTCTTGTTTATTTACAAACATTAATGCAGAAGTGCAATGATGGTCTGGCATTCATGTCTGAGCTCAGACATTTAGTATATCTTGCTCTACTGTTCATGATCTGTTCCCAGAAAATGTGCCTGCTGCTTGCTGGCTGTGGGACAGATCTCTGCTCCTGGCGGGAGAAATTTTGGTCCCACAGCATTCTTAAGCAAAGTAACCTAGGGTATTTTCATGAAGTTCTAGAATAATAAAATAACCCAAATTCAGCACACCTTCCTGTCAGAACAACAGTCTTCTGCTTCTCCAGAGAAACAACTGCCTCTGTAAGTTCTTTGACATCTCCTCAAGGCCCCATGGAACTTGGCTCCCTCCACCAGGCTCCTCCTGTCTCCCAAGCACAGCAGCTGAGAAGAATCCAGTCCCTGCCCACTCCTCTTCCTCAGGACACACTGAAGAAGGGATCACAGAATTTTAGGAGGGGTAAGAGCGAGAAATGGAAAGGAAGGGTTTGTATGAGCCTCGGCTGTCAAAAGAAAATTAACAGGAATTAGATGTGCCGTGTGAGCCCAAAGGGTGTTTCTGGAGTTCCAACTTTCCTGGCTAATGGTAAACTTACAGGATGGAATACTCAGCATCAAAAGTGAGGTGGCCACTTAGGGGAAAGTGGACAGGCCCCAGTACCCCTGATTGGATCAGAGTTTCTTTGCAGGCTGTCTGAGAGTGAAGGATTGCATGGATCTCTCCCAGAGAGGTGGATCCGTTTCATCAGTCCTCCATCCTGTTGTGGATTCACCTCCACAGGCTCTCAATTGATCTCAGGCAGGTCCACCTCCATGGACTCAAGGTAATTTCTCCTGCCCATTAGCCACCTCTACTCGTTGGGAGAATGCATCATACTCCCTTCTTTGAAAGAAAATTTCTTGTATACCTCACAATGTAATACTACTGGCTGCTTCCAGTCAGAACTGTCATTCTGGTCTCAGTCCCCTTATATATATGGCTGAGAATAGAAGGCAGTGAGGTGGCTTGGGACAGCAGAAAGCCATGGTAATGAGATTCTAAGAGCGTCCCATACTGATCAAAACACTGCAGTGCTGGGAGTTGGGACCTATG